ATGACTGAATCAATAGTCCGTTAAAAAGTGCTATGCTCGAAAGGTCCGGATGATGGGACCAGCCGGATGGCTTGATCGCCTATAATGCATTCACGTATTTACACCTATATATGCGCTTGATTCCACAAATACAGCGTGCTTGTGTTTGCCTGCGAAGGAGTGTGGGCCGGCTCCGTTGATTAAACGTGGCTCCCATCCACATGTCTCCCGGTCTTATTCCTTCGGGTTTACACTGGATATGGGGTGTGTGGTTAGAGCTATGGGTGGTGCAGCGCAAGCCATCCATAGTCCGTCTGTAGGCGCAGGCGTCCAGTGGCTGGTCACAGTGACAGGCAAATCCGAAACCGGATGCTGCCAACCACGTATGTATGTGTGCTCCATGCTGAGGCTGATGTTGCATTCATGATGCTTCTTCACCACAAGTTGGGCTAAACCACCTTACACTTAAACTAGGTTTTTTAATGTGGATAAACTTCGTTACATCTTATTTTTGGATGTTTGTGAGTAGAGTAAAGATTGTAGAAAGTAGAAGTCACGATTAAAATTCACGCGCAATAATGCGCCTCGACGGGGAATCGAACCCCGGTCCACGAATTTCCGGTCCGCTGCTCTACCACTGAGCTACCGAGGGCTGACGATTAGGTGCGCAAATTTTAACACACGACTTCTTCTTGGTGCGCGACGTATTGCCAATGGGCTCAGAGTACCTGTCCTGGTGTTGCAGATTGGCTCACTTTCTACAATCTTTACCCTACTCACAAACATCCAAATTTAAACATCTTATTTTATTTCTGTTCTGCCTACTTGATAATCTCCCAACTTGCACACATCGCTCATGCAAATTGTGGTAAACTTGCGTAATTTTATCGCCTGGAATTTCTTAAATAAGTTTCGGACATGTTGTACTTATCACGGATTCACTTATAACCAATCTCTTCTATATGCTCACTTAGCGAGTATTTATGTCGTCATATGCGTTTACTTTATTCGATATAGGCATTTTGAGTGATTGGCTGTTGTTCGGCATCCCAGGTGTGGCTGCGCTTGATGTGCATGTTGACAAGGTGCCTACCTGTCTATTACCCACTACCTCGTCCATACTAGCTCCAAGATACAGTTGGTCGTTGGTAGAGGAGGCGGGGTGCACGGTCCTTGTGGTCATGGTAGGCTGGAAGAGTGGTTCCATGCACTCAATGTGGAGCGGACTACGGTCCAGCCACCGCCTTGTGTGCACTTGATTCCCAAATACAGCGTGCTTGTGTTTGCCTGTGAAGGAGTGTGGACCGGCTCCGTTGATTAAACGTGGTTCACATCCACATGCCTCCCGGTTTACACTGGATATGGGATGCGTGGTTGGAGCTGTGGGTGGTGCAGCGAAAGCCACCCATGGTCTCTCTGTTGGTGAAAGCGTCCTGTGGCTGGTTACAGTGACAGGCAAATCCGAAACCGGATGCCGCCAACCATATATGCGTTACAGAGACGATGGTGTACTCGCCGTCACGCCGTCAAGTGGAGCATGGAAGTGCGGGTGAAACTCACCGAAGGAATAACCCGCATTGAAGCATGTCCTCATATAGTTCCATGGATGGCCGTATAACTTTACCTGGATATCTGCACTTATTATTACTGCCAATTTTCCAATCTTTCTATTATGTACGTCCTAGTTGGGTTACGACTGTCCTAGTCGGTTTCCACGCGTAGAGTAGCTTAGCCGAGTTGAATTGGGACGGTTTGTGAAATTAAAAGGCAGACGTGAACTGAGAAGGTAAACGAAACGCGTAAACGCCGCACAACTATACCGAGACCCCAGAAAAAAAGACGGGCCGATAGTAAGTGCTTTTACTGACTCAACCAAGAGATGTTACAGGTAGAAATTCGTCACATTTGGACTCACTCAGACAGCCGCCACACGCCCGGAAAAGCACTGTACGCGCGTTTCATCCTTTCGGGAATCATCAGCAGTGCGCATTCCATCGGACCCTTGGTAGGGCTCGAACACGCAACTCGACTGTTGCCAGTCCGTGGTTGAGACCACTGAGCTACGGGGGACGGCAACGACCATCGTGAATAAGTTACTAGATGTGATATAGCGCCGCTCACTATCCACTGACTTACACGTTACTGCCGTGCAGAGGACAGGGTAGCCCCCTCACCAAGCGACGAGCTTACAAACTTAAGCCGCCAATTATCTTATGGCATTATAAGCAGTTGGTTCTGTGTACTGATTACAGAAGAGTAGTAGGGGGAGTTGAATGGTATAGGTAGAATTTCGTCACATCTAGGCTCACTCAGACAGCCGCCACAAGCCCGGAAAAGCACTGTACGCGCGTTTCATCCTTTCGGGAATCACAGCAGTGCGCATTCCATCGGACCCTTGGTAGGGCTCGAAACCGCAACTCGACTGTTGCCAGTCCGTGGTTGAGACCACTGAGCTACGGGGAACAGCAACGACCATCGTGAATAAGTTACTACCTACCTAGGACATTCTACTCTCCCTACTACTACTCTTCTGTAATCAACCAAGAGAACCGTGCGTTCTACACCTTAATATGTATAGTTCACTAAAACAGTAGTAAATATATAAACTGGAAGGGGAGGTGTACGTTTGTTAGCACATGAGTTGCCATGTTGTGGTCCTACATATGGGTAGAGATGGGGTAGGTTCCATGCTGTTGAGATGTTGGGCACATCACAGTTGATGAGTGTGCTCGGTGGCTAAGGCACTGGCATGAACACAGCTCAGGAGACAGACTGTTGACTTGAGGAGAGTCCGGCAGGTACGATAGTGAGACTGGGATGTTCATTGGGATACATTGCGGAATACATTGGCCACGTTCTCACTGAGGACTACTCCGTTGTGAACTACGCAGATAAATGGACGCTTGATGACAGTTGCCTTAGGGAGAGCTCCGCTCTGAATTGAGTTGCCACATTCTGGCCTCTACACAGCGACCGTGTTGATTGGGCCCGATAGTGTACAGTTGCCAGTGAAAGCCGGATGAGTTTGGCAGAGCTGTACCAGCCCTGTAGCACTTTCTCATACATAGAACTTGTTAAGCACACCAAAAATCCGTTTGAGAATCTAATATAAAAAACTAGAATAAACATACGTCTTATGCGAACACGTGGTACATATTAATCAGGCCGCTTAATTGGAGTGCACCTCGTACCGGTTAGTTACATTTCCCACCGGGAATGTAGAGTCTGATAAATAGTTTCGCAATACTATGACGACAAGACGAAGTCCCTCGTCAGATCTTATCCCTATAGTCGACTACCGAAACAATAGAAAGAGCGTAAATGGTATAAAAGTATCAAAGTAGCAGAGGTCATGTGAAGAATCATTACGGACGGATAGAGGAAGTGGAATGCTGGCGAAGACAACGAAGGTGTCACGCTAGTTTAGGTCCGCTAGCGAAACAAACTCCCATTAGGTAAGACAAAGATATGTGCAAATAGGAAAATCAATGCAAAACTCAGCTCAAGAAAGACAAGTGAGCGTCGAGTGTAGATGCGGCACGCCCTGTATTTTACATGTGTGAACGGCCAGGTCTAGTACTATGACTGATTGATTCACATAGAGCATCTTGTGATTTGGCCTTCAAACCAGTGCAGAGCGGAACAAGTGCACAAGTGCGACGAAGTGTAAGGACTAAAAGACGAAGCAGGAAGTAAAAGAAGTGCGAGAATATGACGAAAAGTGTGTGAGTCATTAGGAGTTAGATGGAGTGGGGTACTCGTTAACTGCACTGCTTACAGTAGATCAGCGGCCTTGGACCCCTTTAAGTGGAAGCGCGTACGGCGTACCCCCTGAGATATCTTTAACCACAGGACTAGGTTTTAACAAACTGAGAATGAGGCGGAGTGTCTCGAAAATGTACATTACTGTACACTGGATAAACATAAATGTTCGTATAAGTTATTAAAAAAAGAAGGCTGTGGAATGTCGGTATAATCTGACGAATGAAACTGGTTCTGACATGCAATACTGACCTCTTCGATGTTCGGTGTTATTGAGGAAAATCGCAACCTCATATGTGGTTGAGCTTTAAGTCTATTGAAGTACTTTGCTTTGTGTGTTATGCGAAAGGGCACTTTCACATGGATAAACTGTGGCACACGGGACAGACTTCTTCGCTATGATTGAGTACACGTCTTTTGGTTTACGCAAGAGATCAAGCAGCGACACTCAGTGAAACTCCTCCTGAAGAGAGCAATCGGATACCAACTACTACTACATCAAAATTCAACAAGGAATAGTTTTGTGACAAATTTATCAACGTTCTTATCCTCAGGTAAAGGCTTATCTTTATAGGTTCAAGTGCTAAAATGTAAATAAATAATAAAACACATGAAGTGCAAAACATACCTCGAATTTGATTAGTTTATTAAATCGTACTTTGAAGGAAGTATAAAATAAAGTGACGTAGCACACTCGTCAAACACCGAAATTCTCATGCTTTCCTTCTGGGGTTCCGTAAGTGGGATCGCACCATCACCAATGGCCTTTTGTTTCCGACTGGCCGCTTTCGGAGGCATGTGACTTTCGAAATAATCGTAAAATGGGGCCCTATGATTTGCTTTTCGTCTCCTCTCTGCGCGGCAAATTCCGAGCTGTGCGAGCCTGGGTGGATGAAAAATGACCCACTCAGCCTCTACCAATCGCATCCACAGGAGATCACCACACTAACTTTCTGACATATGACAGCTTCGTTCACTGACGTTTGAAGCTTCTGCTTTACATCTGTCAATCATTAGACTAATGTAGACTGTCAGACATTAGTTAACTAATTTGCATTGCAGATTTGTCATCGAACTGTAAAACAAAATGGTTTTGTTCAAAACATTCCAACAGAACCATAACGTTTCGGGAAACCACGCAGAACCCTTGGGGGGTCCGCGGACCACACTTTGAGAATCACTACAGTAGACTGTCCGATCAGTGGTTAAACCTGTCTACATGGAGCAGAGGAAACGTAACTGTGGATAAGAGATTTTACCTGCCATGTCGCGAGCCGGTGTAGATTCGTCCATCCTCTGAGCCGACCAGAAAATCGTTCACATTACCACGGAAAAAGCTTAAACAACTGGTGGGAACCGGTCTTGTCTGTCGATAGGTTAGCTCCATCGATTGTTGCGGCTGACTAAGCATATCCAGGCTCCATGAGCACATCTTTCCATCGGAGCTCACGCTGATGAGATTGTGTGCGTTCAAGGTCCCGAGCACTTGGACCGCATGCACCGGGTGAGTGTGTGCTGTGGCCAGCAGAGCCGTTCGCTGGACAGGAGTGCGTTTGGCGCATCTGGTCGGGGTGGGGCATCGTATGGAGGACAAAGGCGAGAAGAATGATTTCAAATGGAAGCAAGAGGAATGAAGTGGAACAGATTATGAGAGGGGAAAATGTGTGCGCGCAATAAGGCACCCGAGAAGTCAGAGAATCTCGGATGCTTCGAAGAGAAGACGGCATTGGAATAGAAGAAATACTATGATAAACAGAAGCTTGAGTAATGTACATGACCATAAGGACAATGAGCAGTGTTGTAGAGGTTCGTATCACACTAAGCCAGCGGTTCTTCACCTTTTTGAGGCTGTGACCCATAAAGCTAGTTTACTATAATCAAATACCCTCCCAAATACATTTCCGTTTCAAAAGCTAAGTAACGATTAACTATCGTGAAGTTTATTTTGAAATACGGGAAATGCCATATAGCCATTTGTACTTACCCTAAACCATCCGAAAAAGAAAACAGCTATTTTTGTTTAAGTTTGTATTAAATCAAGAGGCGATATATGTCGACGAAACGGTTGATATTGCCTAGTTATGACAATTTCCGTTATCCTTGGTGCAGTTTCGGCTAATGCTCCAAGTTCATTCAATTCCTTGCTTTTGTTTTTATTGTCATCAATGTTGAAAATCCACTTTCATACCTATAAGTTGTGGCGAATGGGATCAATATTCCCGATACGCTTCCAGATAGCAATGGATAATCACAGCCAATGTTTGCCCAAAATGCTGCTAGTCGTACGCTTTGGAAATCTACTTCCAATTCGCTTTCTGCGCGTATGCCTAGGAATTGTGCTTTGACTTCGATTTCAGTATCTGGAAACATTTCTTCATCCACTGAAAAGGGTCTTAGCATCCAGGCATTTACTTGGCGATTTTCCAAATCAGAAAAATATTTACTGATAGACAAAGTTGCATAATCTGTGGATATACATTTTTGATTTCGTCCAACGAGCATCATGGGTAGTTCTGGAAACATCGACACGTCGCCAACCGTAGCTCAGCATTGGTAAAGCTACAATTTGAGAAGAAAAATGGCAATCCTATCCTGACCAGTTACAATATTAATCGTATTTCCTTACAAACTGAGGTTCAGAGCAATTAATCCTCCAAAGAAATCCGCAAGATATGCTAGTCTCGAAATAAATACGTTGTCTGTTATTATGGCGTGTAACCCGCTAGTTTCTTTCAAGAAACAGCTCTTTCTTCTCGAAACTCGAGCACGCGGTCCAACACTTTGTCTCCTGATAACCAACGCACTTCTGTGTACAATAACAGCACGTCGAATTATCCTCCAGATTCAGCGCACAACTCTGAAAAGCTGTGTGGTGTAATACCGCCGATGAGATTTACTTTTTCCACTTCTTTGGTTAACGCGTCCATCAAAGCATGTGCAAGTATTTACTACTAATGCATAAGGATGTATGATGCAATGACTAAAGGCAACGTGCGCAGCAAATTTGTGACTAATTTTTGGAATCCGGAACAGATACCCAACATGAATGGTGATCCGTCTGTAGAGACACCCACCCACTTCGATGGCTGTAGCTCCTTTTCCCGAGAAAATACTTTACTGTTCGAAAGACATCTTCGCCACGTGTAGTTGTGCTCAATGATTTTGAAAACAAGTATTCTGCATTGAAGCCGTCGCCTTTTATGTACCGAACATATAAAAGTAACTGGGACCTCGGTCTACTAATCTAACACACCCAATTTTGAATTATTGCAATATCATTTGCGGCCGCATGAGGAAATCTGATACAGTATCTCTGAAAGTATACAAAGTTCATTTAACAAAGGTCTGTTAGGCAAAACATCCACTAAGAACTATCGGGAGCGCTGTCAACAATTCCAGCTTGATCCGCTTTGGCTACGAAGATTGAGACATAACCTGATGCTTCTGTACAACATGATTCATCAAAACGCCCACTGTTATTTGCCTTCGCTAGAACTACAACATAGTTCGACAAGGGAGCTACACAATAAGGAGTTTAACCTGAGTGTACCCCGGTGCAGGACAAATCTGCGGTCCAACGTTTTCCTTATCAGATACGCTGTCCTTCCAAGTACAATCAGATCGTGTAAGAGCGCAACAGCCTTTCAAGTTAAGATCGCCAATTACCTAATCTAGAACACGATTATGATCGTGTTCTCCTGGATCACTTGATGGCTGGTTCCAAACTGGGTCAGACAAGATCTGATGGATGAAACAGAAAACAAATTTCACGCACTGTGGTACATCCTAAGTGCCGAAATTATTCCTTAATCCAAATAGTGCCCACTGCGTTTAAACTCACCTGTGAGTAAATATATACCCTTGAAACAGCAAAGAGAATTAAAACCACAGAACCGTTTACCACAAATACATGAGCATGACATCAGTAAAATATAATCTGTGCCAAATTTTCTCATTCGATGAGAAATATACATATAAACAGATTATCATTACTATAAGTGTAATGCGAAGAAAGGGCTTGATGTTATTTCGTTGAGCACCGTGTTCAAAATATTCTTGGTAATGTCAGCGATACGAGTTTTGATGGTGCTGTTAGAAAGTTATATCATATCTTTTCCGCATGTTGTTCTCCAAGAACGAACTTAACCGCATCTACAATGCAAGGTTTGATGAGATCCTCTCCTAAAGGATGCGGTTTCTTATTTTCGGCGATTCAAAGAGCGATACGGTACGAAGCTTCAAGACAAGGTTCAGTTGACTGAAACAAAGAACCCGATGTATCGAGGCGCAGTATTTTCAACGCAACATTTTACGTTTGAAGAATGTTATATCTTCCTACGAATTGAGAATGACTACGTTCAAAGTGGTCTTACAATTTGCTAGGTTTCATACTCATCGTCGTGAGCAGTTTGCTGCACAAAACACACGAGGATTTCACAAGATTTTTATCGACAAAAGTAGTGGAGCCTCAGTGCAGAAAGACTACTTTGTAGACCACTTTTTCCAGAAAACATGGTTCCTGCAAAACATTATGCAGTTAGGTGTTATATATATATATATATATATATATATATATATATATATATATATATATATATATTGATTTGGCGGCGTCCGTATCCGAATTTGCCTGTCACTGTGACTTCCATGGTGACAGTCACAGGATACCTGCGTCTAGAGGGCCATGGGTGGCTTGCGCTGCACCACCCACACACCCCATGTCCGGTGTAAACCCGAAGGAATAAGACCGGGAGGCATGCGGATGGGAGCCACGTTTCATCAACGGAGCCGGCCCACACTCCTTCAATATGCAGAACAGAAGCATTCCGGCCTAATTGGTAAATCATACACACCAGACGAACACGAGGCGGTGGCTGGACCGTAGTCCACACCACACAGGTTGGAACCACTCTTTGAGCCTAGCACCATCACAAGGACGGTGCACTCCGTCCCCTCCAGCAACGACTAACGGTCTCCTGGAGCCAGTATGGACGAGGTAGTGGGTAATAGACAGGTAGGCACCTTGTCAACATTCACATCAAGCGCATCCACACCGGGGAGCTTAAACAACGTCTACTTCTAAAATGCAAGATTACTCATCACGTAGGCAAACGTATCACATACGCCGCCTTATTGGCCTGGATGAGTAACTCGAATGGGAACGTACTCATGGTGCTTGTATTCCGCGTGCAATAGTGCCTTCTCCGGCACCTGAGAAACCGCCCTTTTGAGCAGTCCACGGAATTCGCATCGATCAAATTTGCCTTGGATTCGCAACACCTGAAATCAACATGAGTTTGTCATAAACTCACTTCGGCCTGGGCAAACGGGTAGTATCTCGCCCACTGACGAACCATGGACTTACAACACAACCTTTCACCCGCTGTCTTGCTGTTAACATGCTATCCACTCATGTTACTATGCCAACTGCACAAGCACACGCCACCATTTTACCTACTCTTCCCGTGTACCATTCACACCCATTTTTACCTGATTCCTCTACAACGATCAATCCCACCTACACTGATGAACCTGTTCCCGTGACATCTGCCAACTCAACCACACAGTACTCAGCAGAGAGTTGCCGGCCCCAAAGTCGCCTATCTTCGCTCCTGCAACCCGGAACGCAGTTCAAACTTGCAGCTTTTAACGTACGCACATTACTGCAGATCGGTCAGCAAGCTGGAGTTGCACGCACGCTAGAGACCCTTGGAATTGATATCTGCTGCCTGACTGAAACACGACTCCAGGACTCTAACTCGGTCTACCAGCTGGTGTCACCGCTCCACCCACGCACCCGGTTCCATCTCCGCCTCTCTGGTGATGCCGAGTCTGCCGCATCTGGGCAAGCTGGTGTTGGAATCGCCCTCAGCGCTAGAGCCGAGACTGCTTTGATTGATTGGATTCCGATCAATAGCCGCCTTTGTGCGATGAGGCTCCATGGCTCTTGTAAGGTCAGCAGAAGTCGAGTCGAAAAGCGTGCTCTCTTCGTGATCTCTGCCTACGCGCCCACTGACTGTAGCTCAGACATCGTCAAAGACCAGTTCTACCAGAACCTTCATGAGCTGCTCCTAAGGGCTCCTAAAACAGACATCATTGTTTTGGCAGGTGACTTCAACGCGCGTGTCGGTCGTCTGCTGCCATGTGAGCGCCACCTCGGAGGACCGCATGGATATGATGATGTTCGCTCAGACAATGGAGAGAGACTGCTCAGTCTTTGTGCTGATCATCAACTATTCCTCTCCAGCACCAGCTTTCGTCATCCTGGACGCCAGTACGCCACTTGGCGCCCCCCATCATCAACCCAGCGCTGGTCACAGATTGACCACATAGCTATAAGTCGCAGGTGGCGCGGCAGTGTACGCGACTGCCGATCATTTTGGTCAACATGCGTCGACACCGATCATGCACTGGTGTGTGCGACCGTTTGCATGCGTTTTGGTGGTTCGCCTAGGTCAAAACACACCCGACTGAACGCCTACAAGTTGGAGGACCCAATGGTGAAGAGAGATTATCAACAAAAGCTTCGCGAAAAGCTCCCTCTCTCTCACACTCTGGAGGT